AGTACTAATTTGTAAAATAATAAATAAATAATAAACAACATTTGGTTTCAGCAAGTTATCGTGGGATATCACACCTCTGGATTTTTTTCTTTGGGGTGTTTGCCAGAGAGCAGCTTTGAGTATGATCGAGCCTTTTTGATCACCCTCACTAAAAATCGAGCACAAGCGAACGCCACACTCGGCTACTATGTGTTCGATCGAGATGCACACCCAACAGCTGCTTTGAGTACGAACGAGTCTGTTCGATCACCGTCGCTATAAATTGAGCACAAACGAACACCACACTCGGACACCCGCAACTAACCCGAAAATTTGTGTAACAATGAAGCGGACGCCCGAACATTGCGATAAAATGCAGAACAACAATGAAATTTACGCTGAAGATAACTGGGGCCAATATGTTCCAACAAAGCATACGAAAATGTTGTTGCTTTGTGCTTGTGCATACGCAATGAAAAAATTTGAAGCGAAGTAGACAAAAATGTTTGTGCATCTGCCCCGTAGCGAATGTCATGCATTAGTCACCTAAGAGTCTTGTACGGAAAAGTTACGTCTTAAATGACGTTGGACTCCGTTTGTATGGAAGTCGTTCATGACTTTTTCATATAAATGGTAATTTCGTCGTTGATGTCATCTGCATGACTTGGTTATGCAAGCGACAGTATCTTGCAATGGAATTTTTATAAGTGACCGCTGCAAGACATTGTCTCTTATAAGTCTTTGATAGGAGTACACCTGCATGACATTGTCACCAGTGTCATTGTCAGCTATATGTCGTTTAGGATTCACAGCAAGTGTGACGGTGTCACTAAATCCTCATTAGTGACGATGTCACCGGTGACCATTTCCCTACTGGGTATTTCGTATAGTTTCGCGTGGAATGCTGTGTGTGTATATATGTATTAGAACACAGCCTAAACCCAAGAATGATAGAATACAAGATTGCGCCGATCAGAGAGGATTTTTGAGAATAACTTTTGTGTGACGTCACACTGGTGCAATTGCGAGAGAGAAATGCCAAAACGTGAGCAAGAATGGAAGAAGAAGAAAAAATGTTGCAAGGAAAACGTAAACAAGTTGCACAAGTGTGACGTCATGCAAACAACGATTCTGTCAAATTCGTTAAGAGAGGAATAGCGGTCCGAGATCGGCGCAACCTTTGTATTCTCTCAATCGTGGCCTAAAGCTATGTAGGTACATAAGTACTTTTACAAAAAAAAAATGTGCACCTAGTGCATATGGCTTTGACATTGCCGATCTACACACATTTAATACCTACATGGATGTAGGCGTCTTCATGTCNTATTATTCTATGTTATAATATATGTTATGTCCGAGTCATTTGAAGGTTATACTTCGACTGCTTTATTCGTAATTCAGAGACGGATATATATACATATTGTACCAAGGTAACGGAATGCATACATATGAGTAAATACATAATGTTAATTGAGGGGAATATAAAAGTATGTACTGTTTAAATAGCTGAACATCTTCAAGTGCATTAACACCTCTCTCCCCCCTAAATTTTAAATGTTCTTCATCGGTATGTTTACAAATAAATTCAATAACTTACACCGATATTTCTACAAGCTGCATTATTTCAAATTGCTTAAATTTAGCATAGTGTGTTTGGCTTAAAACTAAACTTTGTTGGTTGTTTTTATTGTCGTAGGCGGGTTGGTATTTTGCGTTGTCGCTGCGAACGTCGCAGTGGTTGTTGTTGTTGTGTCGTTTCAGTTGCTGGTGTCTGCTTAACTTCGGTCACATTTGGATTTGCGGCTTTTGTAACCAGGCTCAGCCGTCACTGTGGGTTTCGGAATAGGTAATGCGTTGATTGATTGCCTTGAAAACGCTGGCGGATTTTCGCGTGGTGTGTTTGTCTCCGGCGTCTCTGTGTTGTTAGTTACCTGTTCTCCGTTTGCTGTTGTTGTTTGCTCACTGTGGGCTACTACTCCCGATCTCCTCACTTGATCGGCATGCCTTGTCCATATGCGACCGTCATCGAGTCTCACGTTGTAGTGTAAATCGCCTTTACACGATTCGACCACTCCGAATCGCCACTTCCTCTTTGAGAGATAATCGCGTACTGCTACTCGATCACCGCTCATCATTCGTTTTTGCGTTGGCTTCATTGCTTGATTGTTGTTTATTTGGTTATTCTGCGGCAGAAGTAAGTCCAATCTGGATTGAATCTGCCTGCCTAGCATAAGCATCGACGGTGACTTGTTTGTTGCTGGGTGAATGGTACGCCTGTATGCTAATAAAATTTTTGATAATTCCGCTTTCAATGAGTCTGCTGTGCATTTTGCTGCAATTAATTTGTGTTTGATGGTTTGTACATAACGTTCAGCTTGGCCGTTTGTAGCTGGATGGTATGGCGCACCTTGTTTGTGGGCAATGCCGTTGCACTTCAAAAAATGTTGGAACTCACTCGAATTAAATTGCCGCCCATGATCACTCACCATAATGTTCGGGATACCAAATTGCGAAAATATTTCCCGACATTTTTCAATGGTGGTTTCTGTATTCATATTAGGCGTTACGTGTACTTCAGGCCACTTGCTGTAGGCATCGATAAGTACGAACAAATATTTGCCCATTATCGGGCCGGCATAATCTATATGGACCCGTTCAAACGCTTTAGTAGGCGTTTTCCAAGTGTGGCCTGGTGGCTCCTTTTTTGGATTGGGTCTTGTGGTTTGACACGGTACACATTTCTGTACTAGCTCTTCAATGTGTTTGTCTAATTGGTTCCACCAAACATAAGCTCTGGCTAGACTTTTCATTCGAACTATGCCGAAGTGTGCTGTATGCAATTCGTCCAGTACTCTTTGCCTAAGACTCCTAGGGATATACGCACGTATTCCCCGCAAGATACAACCATTGTGTAGTGTGAACTCATGTTGGTCAATGTCAAAACGGTCTTTTGGTTCGCAGATTCGGCCGTATCTCAAACCTTCTAGCAAGGATTTAATCGATTTATCCGCCTTTGTTTCTCGTTGGAGATCGGTGACGGTTATTGGTAAATTATCCAACAATTCTTCTTCCACCATGTACACCTCCTCTGTGCATTTGTGTTCCTCTATGGTTGGCAGCCTTGACAGCGCATCTGCATTAGCGTTGTCTTTCGAACGCTTGCATTTGATAACGTAATCGTACTGTTCAAACAATAATGCATAATGTTGCATACGAGTTGCTGAGTGGGTTGGTATCCCCTTACTTGGTGAAAATATTTGCGAAATTGCCCGATTATCTGTAACGAGAGTGAACTTTCTGCCGTACAGGTATTGGTAAAACTTACGTATCCCAAATATGATTGCATAGGCTTCTTTGTCCAGTTGTGAATAGCGCTGTTGTACTTTGTTCAGCGTTTGTGAAGCGAATTGTATCGGCCTTTCCGAACCATCGCCATACGTGTGACTCAATATTGCGCCGACTCCAATTGGGCTGGCATCAACGGCCAAGGTGACTGGTAACTTCGGATCATAATGTGTGAGTATGATGTCCGATTGCATATATTTTTTAATTTCTTCGAATGCCTTCATACATTTGTTATCGAAAATGAACTCTACGCTGTTTTGCAGTAGCCGATTAATAGGGTATACTATGTCACTTAGATTTCGCACAAATCTGCCGTAATAATTCACGAGGCCCATAAAGGCTCTAACCTCCTCTCGGTTAGTAGGCACTTTCATGTCTTGGATCGCCTGGATCTTACTTTTCATTCGCCGAATGCCCTCTTTGCTGATAATGTAGCCACAGTATTCTATGCTATCTTTGAAGAATTCAGATTTTTCGAGATTCACCCGCATGTTGCACCGATCGAGTCTGCTGAGGACTTCTTCAACGCGTCGTAGGTGCATACCATCGTCTGATGCCGTGATCTTAATATCGTCTAAAAATACTGACACCCCGGGGATACCGCTTAGTAATTGTTCCATTACACGTTGCCATTTTGCCGGAGCGCTTGCGATTCCGTACATCATTCGTGTGGGTTCGTATAACCCCTTATGCGTGCTTAGTGTGAGTAAATGTCGGTCTTCCGGGTGGATTTCTAATTGCAAATATGCTGTAGACAAGTCAATTTTTGAAAACTTTTGCCCTCCAGCCATCTTGCTAAAAAGTTCATCCACTGTTGGCAAAGGATGCTCGTCGACTAGTAATACTGGATTAAGGGTTACCTTATAGTCGCCGCATATTCGTATATTGCCACCTTTCTTGCGTACTACAACGATCGGTGTGGCCCACTCACTTGTTTCCACCTTCTTAAGAAGTCCCTCCGCAACTTGTTCGTCTAGTTGACGCTCTACGGCTTCCAATAAAGGAAAAGGCACTCGTCTGTGTTTAACGAATTTCGGTGTTGTATTTGGTTTTACGTACAGTCGAGCCTGTAAATCGCGAATTTTCCCCGTAGTTTTGGAAAACAAATTGGGAAATCTTTTAAGCAAGTTTTCTATTTTGCACGTTTTGCTACTATCTTCAATTTGGTTAATACGCGACACGGTGTACGTTTCACTGCTCAGTATATCGTTCCAGTCGACTTTTATTTCACGCAGCCATTCCCGGCCCAGAAGTGGTCTACGATCTGATCTCACGATATACAATTTTAGCATTTTATCACTCAACTTGTCCGCAACGCGTACCCAAATGTAACCTAAACATTCCAAAGGTGTGCCACAATAACTCACAAGCTGTATTTTAGCTTCTTTTAATTGCGATTTTGCGAAGTTTCTTTTGGCATCTTCCAAGTTGATTATCGAAACAGGGGACCCTGTGTCCACTTCAAACGAAATTTGCACATTATTCACTGACAGTTTGCATTCGATCTTTCTACCTATGTTGTGCACTTCGCCATATATTTCCACTTTGAACAATTCTTCGACCAATGTGGTTTTGTCTTCGCTTATTTGGTTCACACGCTTCTTTTGCATTTTCTGTTTAAAGCACATTTTCTTAAGATGCCCTTTTTTATTACAAAAGTGACAGGTGAAATCTTTGTATTTGCATTTGTCTGCAAGGTGCGCGTTATTGCCACATCGAAAACATTTTTTTATATCTTCTTTCGGCTTCTCGTTTTTCTCTCTCTTCTCTGACTTTTTCTTTCCCAAAACTTTAATCACGCTCTCCTTGTCGTTCCCCCCTTGTAACTCTTCACCTCCTTTTTCTGCCAATTCATATGCCGTAGCCATACTTATGGCCTCAGTAAGGCCCAATGACTTCTTTTTCAATAAATTACTTTGAATGTTCTTATCTAGCAAACCAAATACGAACTGATTTCGTAAAGCTTTTTCCAGGTGCGTACCAAAATTACAATTTACCGCCAATCGTCGCATTGTCACTGCAAACTCCGTACACGTTTCGCCTGCTTTTTGCTTGCGCATGTTAAAACGAAAATTTTCCAAAATTTCGTTAGGTGTTGGGTCGAAGTGCTCGTGTAGTATTTCTATTATTTGCTCGTATGTCTTCTCTTCTGGCTTCTGGGGCATGATCTTATCGCACAATAAGTTGTATGTGTCTGACCCCATAAGATGAAGAAGCAATTTTGCATGTTTGGTCTCCTCGCATTCGTATAATTCTAACGCGGTTTTGAAACGCTCAGCCCAACGTGACCAAGAAGTTTTATTCGCGTCGAAGGGCTCAAAATTAAAAAATGTAGTTGAAGCCATTGCTTTTACTTTACGTGCCGGAACGTGAGTCGTTTTCACTCTTCGCCAAAAATTGTTATGTCCGAGTCATTTGAAGGTTATACTTCGACTGCTTTATTCGTAATTCAGAGACGGATATATATACATATTGTACCAAGGTAACGGAATGCATACATATGAGTAAATACATAATGTTAAATGAGGGGAATATAAAAGTATGTACTGTTTCAATAGCTGAACATCTTCAAGTGCATTAGCATAACGATTCATAACATTGCAATAACATAACAATGTCGCATTTTGTATGAGCAAAAATATAAGAAATGGTAAAATGTACCCTTAAACAGTAGTATCCAGCATAAAGCATTGTATGAGAAATATATGGTTGATTTCAACTGTTTAAACAAGTTTTTATATAATAAATACTTAATGGGTTTTGAAAATAACATCAAATCTAATCTCAAAGCATTTTGGTCCTTTATCAACTCAAAGCGTGCCTCCTCGGTTTTTCCAAATTCCTTGCAGTATGGAGGGAAGCGAATATGTTCGTAGATTTTTTCAAATCGAACTTTGTTAATGAGTGTCCACTGAGTAGTGAGTCCACCTGCAACAACACTTCCACTTCTTTAGATTTTGGATCTCTGCTCTTATCAGAAGATGATATTTCTTATGGAATACGAAGCTTAACAAATTCCAAAAAAGCGGACGTGCATCAAATATCGTCTTTTTTTCTCAAGCAATGCGTTTCGTCGATTTCGGAACCACTGCTACTTTTATTCAATTTATCATTAAAGTTAGGTCTTTTTCTGGATGAATGGAAAATCACTTCTGTGTCCCCCGTTTTTAAAGCAGGTAACAAAAGTGACATCTCAAACTATCGCCCTATCGCTAAGCTTCCTATTATTGCAAAATTATTCGAAAAGATTATTAGTAACAAACTTTCTTTTGCTATAAAACAATTAATATCCCCTTGTCAACATGGGTTTGTACCTGGGCGCTCAACCGTCAGTAACTTAACTGTTTTTTCAAATTATTGTCTTCCTTCGTTTGCAGCTGGTTGCCAAGTTGATGTCATCTACACTGATATTTCAAAAGCTTTTGATCGTGTATCCCACAATCTACTTCTTAAGAAGCTAAATCTTTTTGGTTTTCACTCAAGCTTTTTGTCTTGGATCAAGTCCTATCTCTCAAATAGAATAAATAAAGTTGTTGTTGATGGTGTTAGCTCATACCCCTACATTGCAATATCAGGAGTTCCGCAAGGGAGCATATTAGGTCCTTTGTTTTTTGTTATTGTCATGAATGATTCCAGTGCCTGTTTTAGATATTGTAATTATTTGTTATACGCAGATGACCTAAAAGTTTTTAAGAAAATTGAATGTTCTTCTGATATTGGGGTCCTTCAATTTGACCTTAATAAATTTTTTGATTGGTGTTTTAATAATAAGTTGTCAATAAATATAAATAAATGTGTTACTAGATCAGCTGATTTTGTGTATGTGTTTCGCCTCACGGCTTATGTCAAATTTAAAAATTTTGATTGAATTTCCACACACACTCTTACAGATTTTGACAGTTTATGCCGCCAAAGCAAAAACAAAATACATGTAAGTTTTTGTTTTTGTACTCCTGCTATCACCTTATATAAATTCGCCTTGTTCTGTAACTTACTGTAAGTCTCGGTCTCCGTTGCTGTCGTCGTATACTATTTCAAATGTTGTCTTAAACTCTAGCTCCAGATTTAAGGATTTAGATGTTGTATTTGATTCATCTTTCTCTTTTGTTGAACATCTAAACTATATCATCCCCAAAGCATTCGCCTCTCTAGCATTCATTAAACGTAATAGTGAACAATTCAAAGACCCTTATACAAGAAAGATTTTATATTCTGCCTTTGTTAGATCTAAACTTGAATATGCCTCTCTCATATGGAACCCTACCTATGAAATTCACCATAAGAGGATAGAACGGGTTCAGAAAAGCTTTTTAAAATTCGGTCTAGCCCAAATTAGGTTTGAAGACCCTTCTCCTCCATATATTTCGCGTTGCAAACTTATAAGCCTACATACACTTCGCAGTAGACGGATTATTTCTGGCCTAATGTTCCTACATGATGTTTTGAGTGGAGCAATTGACTGCCCTGCCCTTTTAGATCTCATTAAACTTAATGCTCCAATGAGAATGCTTCGTCAACAGGATTTGTTTGCGATTGATTTCTGTAAAACCAAATATGCTCTAAATCAACCAATTATTAGGGTAATGAGTGAGTTCAATGCTTTATGTAAAGACAATAATGTCAACATATTCGCTAATCGCATGGAATTAAAAAAAAATATTATTTACTCTTTATTCGTAAATTTTAAATTTATTAATTGTTGTTATTTAGTCTGTAAGATTTTGTAAATCATAGACTCGAAATAAATAAATAAAATTAGTACTGGATTTACTGGATAGTGCGTACGCGAACAGGGCTATTAACCGATCTGGGCAGGGTAGTTTTGGCCGCTACAACAACAATGTAACCCTCATATCTTCATATCTTCTTTTGAACATCACCTTAATAGATATTCTACCTGAATCCGCAATAAATAATATTAAAACTTTTTTAAAGACACGTTTATGACACAATTTTATTTTATTTATACCTGAATTCCCAAATGTAAAAACTCAAAGCATCGGTATTTTTTTATTTTTAAACAACATCAGCCTTATTCTGTATCACGAACGATAGGCAAAACGAACGATTCGTCTGCAGAAAGGATTAAACAAGGGGTTCCACAAGGTGGTGTTCTCTCCCCCTTACTATTTAACTTCTACATCTCGAAACTTCCTCAACCACCTGAGAGGAGTTTCCCTGATCTCATACGCTGACGAATGCTCGATTTTGGCTTCCGGGAATGGAATTGATGACCTCTGCTCAAAAGTGAACGACTATCTCTCCAGCCTTTCTCGCTTCTTCACTGCAAGGAGCCTAACACTCTCCCCAACGAAATCAACGGCGACCCTCTTCACCACCTGGACGAAGGAGGTCAGGCTAGAGTTGGGTATACACGTCGACGGCACACCAATACCGACTGTAAACAACCCAAAAATCTTAGGAGTCACCTTCGATAGCCTGCTTTCCTTCTCCAGCACACAACCGCAATTGTCAACAAAGTACAGAGCCGCAACAAGGTCCTCAAGTCGCTCGCCGGCAGCACTTGGGGCAAAGACAAAGAAAGTTGCTGGCAACATACAAGGCAATTGGCCGGCCGGTTCTAAACTATGCTGCGCCAGTTTGGACGCCGGGGACTACCTGGACGCAGTGGACGAAGCTACAGACTTGTCAGAACGCCGCACTCCGGACAGCGACTGGGTGCCTTCTGATGACGCCTGAGCACCACCTGCACAGCGAGGCCCAAGTGCTCCCCGTCAGGGAACACAACAAAATGCTCTGTAAGCAATTTCTGGTGGGGTGTCACAGAAGTGAACACCCTAACAGACTGTTGCTTCAGGAGGAGCCTCCGCCCAGGCACGTCAGGGGGCACCTATTCATGTACAAGGACGCAGTCCAACAGTACATAGACCAACCTTTGGACTCGACGACATACAGACAAGCCATAAACGACATTCATAGAGAGTCAGTTACCTACTACCTCGACTCTCGACCTATGAATGCCGTAATACGAGCCCAATCACCACCTGTGGAAGAGACGGAGCTTCAACTGCCACGAGAGACCCGCGTTACCCTGGCTCAATTGCGGTCTGGATACTGTAGCCGCCTTAACAGCTACCTGTCCAGACTCGACCCCAATATCCCCAATGAGTGCCCGGCATGTGGAGAGTCCCCCTACGACACCAACCACCTCTTTACATGCCAGCTCAATCCGACTCAACTAACACCCCTCTCCCTCTGGTCCGAACCCATTGAAACAGCTCGTTTCCTGGGCCTCCCGTTAGTTGAGCTCGACGACAATGATTGAACGTAGACCCGAAAATGGCGGGGCTTAGTAGTGCCGCTACAACAACAACAACAACAACAACATTCGTCTGCAGACGACAACCTCTCTGATTGCGATTTTAAACTCTATCGGTCGTCTTCGGGCGGTATTATCACTTGCGAAGCGAATGATTTTGGCGAAGCGAACGGTTTGCCGAAGCGAATTAAGGGGCAGAGAAGGCATTAAAAGTGTTCGCGATGGAAGAACTTCCACAAGCTGGTAAAAAAGAACACTCTTAATGCATATTTAAGTTGCGTCCGCCAATCCATTCGCTTCGTCAAACCGTTCGCTTCGCCAAATTCATCCGCTTCGCAAGTGATAATACCGCCCTTTCTTTTCATACATTACGTTGCAATGGCCTCGGTTGCGTTTAAACCGGCTAAAATGATGCCGCCGGAAAACCCGACAACCCTAACGGCCTTGTCCCTGTGGACAAACCCCACAGAAGCTGCACGCTTCCTAGGGTTGCCGTTAGTGGAACTTGACGACAACGACTGAGATACCAACCGTCCTGGGCGGGGTTGTTGTAGCCGCTACAACAACAACAACATGCCGCCGCACTAATTTTTGAAGCACTCCTCTGCAGACGAATCGTTCGTGTTGCCTATCGTTCGTGATACAGAATAAGGCTGCAGATGGAATTGTTCAGTACTCGCAACATTTGGGTGCTAATTTCAAGCTCGAAATTTAAGTGTTATTTTTTAGGAATAAGAGACTGATGCTCTTGTATTTTAACATTATACATATTTACATATAGTTACATATAAATATTCCATTATATATAAGATAGCTTTCATTTCCATACGTATATATATATGCATCTGAATTGATCATTTTTGTTCTGCGTACAAATTTTCTTGGTCAGCTATACACATAAGCGCCAATTTGATATCGGACCGTTTTTTTACGCTCTCTTCGCGTAGTACATCACATTCTTTAGTTAGAATTTTCACCTTGAAATTAGAAAATTTTAATGCCTCCGCGAGCGTGAATTGGACAAAATAACCTTTACCCATATCGACCAATACTAAGTCATCTGGGTTATTTACTTTAGCTTCCATAAATATATTGCCCCCAATATCTGCAAGGTGATAAAGATTATAGCAAAGGTGAAAAAGATCTTTGTAGAATTAATAGCTACTCATTTGTGTCTTAAAGGAACCATCTCATTCGGATTTTGGCAGCGAGCGTGCGTGGGTCGTGCGCGTCTTTTCTTATAGTTATTTGTGCGTGTACCGTTTTGACTTTTTGACTAGTTGGCTTTTGTGACCCCGTGTATCAAACTTAATTCGAGTATGTTTCGTTTTATAAAATAATTTAATCTGGGGAAGCATTCTTTTTGGATTGGTGAGTAGCCTTGGCATTTTGTGCACCTTTTCTCTGTGTTTTTTAAAAAAAAAGTTTTGTGGTAGAAAAAAGAAAAAAGTGCCGCTAACGGCACTTAAAAAAGTAAAGGTCAGGATGGCGTCGCCGACTCCATGGTCGGTGGCGTCTAGGGATGACCAAAATGAGTATGAAAGTGACGAAATTGACTTTAAAAAACCTAAAATTGTTAGCAACGAAAGTGTTTCTGGATTTTATGAGCTTACTCCTGGTGGTGGGCTTGTAAAATTACAGGAGAAAAATGAAAATGTGCTTAGTGAAAAAATAACGGAACCTCAAGACAGTAATCGCATGGTTGTAGAAGCCGAAGCAGGGGACAGTATCTGTACTGTAAAGTCAAGTGCCTTAGATACAGCTAGTTCGAATAGCTTAAAAAAAGTACAGTTTGAGTCTGTGGTATACCCACAAAACTTTAAAGGGGAAATCTTTGTATTGGTTGACTCGTCAGCTAATACACTGATGGCCAACGAAAAAATGACGACTGGTTTGACCTTATTCGGTCAAATTAAGGATTTGCGAATAAAAGATATGGACTTGATAACTGCTATTGGCAGAACCCTATATAAAATTACTTTTAAAAATACTTTTGCGGCTAACAATTTTGTTTGTGACAATCGAGTAATCAAAAGAAATCTAAGGCCTTTCATTCCAAGAACCACCTTGGAAATCTATGGTGTGGTAAGGGGTATACCCACGTGTTTTGATGAAACTGAGATAAAGAATGAAGCTAGGTCCGCGATTACGATACTTTCTGTTAGGCGTTTCACTAGAAAGGATGCTGTTAGTGACACTTATGTGCCCACAACTACAGTGAAGATAGGTTTTTCTGGTGATGATATACCTAAGTTCATCACTTACAATTATGCGAAGCTCCCGGTAGAATTTTATGTTCCCCCACTCAGACAATGTGACAACTGTGGTCGTATTGGCCACACGAAAATGTCATGCAAAAGCAAGCAAAGATGTCTCATGTGTGGAAAACCAGAATGTAGGGATTCGGAATGTAACACAAAAGTTTGCATTTTATGTGGAAATCATGGTCATTCGGCCAAAAATAAAGAGGCTTGTCCGCGTTGGGAAAAGGAACAGATGGTGAATCGCATCAAGACGGTGAAAAAGTTATCGAGGAAGGAGGTGCTGGACCAATATTTTCCGAGGAACAACAGATTTAGCATTTTGGAGGTTGATGATGTGGCGTTTCCACCTCTCAAGTCACAAGGTAGTGAGGTAGCTGACAGAGATGAGAACATTAACAAGAATTTTACAAGGAGATTATACAGCCACACTGCCAGAAGGGGTGCGGCTTTTTCACCTTCTCCACAAACTAAAGAATTACCTAGGCGTACAAGAACTAAAAATCCATTTAACCCTGTTTTTAACACCCCTGAATATCAAAAGGGACTTGTATCTGAGTTTGAGCGGCTTATAACGGAACTAATTAGGATTACTCAAAAAATTTCTATAGAAAACAATAACACTGAGGTTTTTAATGATATTCAATCCTTAAAAAGTCAATTTGAGGTCATAATTGCCAATAGAGACGAGACAGTGATCAGTGGATCATACAACCCCTTTTCGCAAGATGAAGATTCTCCAGTATAACTGTCAATCCCTTCGAGCCAACTTAGATTCAATAGAATATT